CAAAAGCCTAAACTAGAACAGACTCAAAATTAATGGATTTCTGTTCTGCTGAAATGTGTTCTGGGGGGAAATCTTCATTATGCAAAAGGGAAAAAAAAAGAAAACTAATGAAATCTTTCTTCAGTCATGAACCAAACAGAAAAATCACCAAAGCATTACAGTCAACAAGAATTACTTTTTTTTTTTAAAATAAGTGAGGATTTCAAGGAGGATTAGATTTGGATGAACACATTTGAGGGATCACAACCACAAATGTATTGCTGACTAATATCCACATGGTTTTAATACGTCAGCTAATGAACAGAGACTCTGCCCTTCCCATGCCCCAAGGATCCTGTAATAGACAACTAAAGTGGATAGTTGGCAAGTGGGCAACAGGGTGTTTATCAATCTGTGTAAGTATCTTTTCTTCTGAAGTGCTGCCCTCTTAAATGGGCTTAATGCAGCACAGCTATTCTCATAGGAAGCATGATCAGAAATACCATTAAATCATTTAGTATGCTTGGACAGCATAGCTTCCTAGGCCAATTCGGATTAATTCTTATTTCCTCAAAATTTCTCTCTCCAGGGATCATCAGTGGAAGTTGCAGGTGAAAGGGGGAGTCAATCAATCATCCATTCCAAAGGCAAAAGGGTTCATGTTTAAATGAAGCAAGATTTCAGCTCCCTATTTGCTTATTTTGTCATCAGTTGTAACTCAGAGGTTTCCCCTTTTCCATGTCAGTTGTGATACACCTGAGAATTTACTCACAGCAACTGTCTTAGTCCTGTATTCTGAAAGACGCTGGTGCACTGTACCAGTATAAATGGAGCAGTAGTTTATGGTAACCACATTTCATCTTTATTCTAAAGGAACAGTGTTTTTAGGTACAGGAAATCAGAATCCAGACAATAGCCAGCTTCACTGAGTTAGATGAAATCCTTCCTCCACATCCCTTACTGCCAGACATTCCCCCAATTTTGAGAAGTGGTGGCAAATTGATGCCAAAGTAGCACTCCTTGTTTAAGGACTCCTCCTGTTCCTTGTATATGCAATATTGCCCTACCTTCAGTCACCCAGGGGACCATTACAGTTTATTCTGGAATCCTCCCTTTCTATAACTCCAGATACCCGTGTAACAGTTGTTCCTGTTATATACCAAGAAGCTCACAAAAACTACATCAAAAGTTTGAAACCTCATAATAGAACAAGAGTCCCATACGTAGTTTTATGTGGACAGGACAGATTGATAATTTGCCTCTCAGAGGCCCAAAGCAGCAGACAAAGAACAGCTCTTCCTTCTAATAGCATCAAGGACACACCCTGAGTGAGCAGTAAGGGATGACCTGTTACTTTTGGAGAATTCCTGAGCTGCTGAGACCAGCATCCCGTTAGATGAGGGATGTTGCAACAAATACTAGTGTGACACTATGCCCCATATTCTTCATAGAAATATTGTTAAAATATGATTATAGCGTATCTAAGATGTATTTTATGCAAGATGGATCATGTGAGATGTTGGAAAGATTATGATTTATTATTATCATATTTGTATGCATGTATCATTTTTGTATCTGAAGTTAGGAATACTGTGTATGCACCAATTACAAATGTGTTTATACCTGGGGAATGCCCACTGGCCAGAATGCAATCAGTCTAGATTACTGGCTGGAAAGGGACATTAGGAAAAACAATAGGTCTTTGAAGATGCTAATCTCCCACCTTCCTGGAAAGCCTTCCTGTGGATTCTGCAAATAGACTGAGTTATGGCTGCAGGGTCATATGATCAAGTCACCTGATACTGGACACCATGATAAAATTAGTACTTTTCGACTGGGGGTGGAAATCACACTGGAAGACAAAGGATTCCCGCCAGATGTAAAACCTATTTAAGGCAGGGGATGACATAATGAGTGTTCGTTCTTCACTGAATCCCCGCCCAGGACGACTGCTGTAAACATCTAAGAAACAAAGACGAAGGGGGAGAGAAGGACTGAGCCCAGGCTGGAATGGTGTCTAGCCTGTGAATGAAATATCTGAAGTTTTAAGCTGCAGGCAAGTGCAGCTGGCCTTCAAGAATCTCTGCAGTCTGACTAAAACAACATTTCAGGTGAGAATTTGCTACTTGTAGCCAATTTCTTTAGTATTTTAAACTTAGATTGCGTGTTTGTTTTATTTACTAAGCAATCTGCTTTGATCTGTTTGTTGTCCCTTATAATCAATTAAACTTGTTTTTGTTTTCTTTAAAACCAGTTTATGGAATTCATATCTGGGGGAGAGGGGCAGCAAAAAGATGTGCAAACCTTCCTCCACATTGAGGGAGGGGGCAAATTTAAATGAGCTTACACTGTATAGTTCTCTGTGCAGCGCAAGACTATACAATTTTGGGTTTACACTCTAGAGGGGGTGTGCACTTGGGTGCTGGGCAATTCCTTACCCGAGCTTTCCTATGCAGAGCTGTTCTCAGCATGTTTGTGAAACTGCAGCTGGGCGTGTCCCTACCTGTGTGTGTGCTGGTAAAGTGCACTCTGAAGCCTGAGGGAGGGCTTGGCTGAAAGAGCATCATGTTTATAGTAAAAATAAGTAGTTTATTTAACAAAGAACAGAAATCTGAGGAGAGGCAAGTAGAATTAAGGGAAACAAATCGTTACATGTAAAACAGAACCATAACATGCTTTCTAGAGCCTAAACTTAACTAACTAGGCATTATGTCATGTCATAGAGAGCAAAAGCCTACCCCAAATCCTTCCTGCATATTACAGCCAGGCTTTGCTATGGATTTAAGATAATTTCCAATATAAACATATAACTTCTTAAATATTACCCATACATACATTTTGCAATGATTAAGATGACTGCGGTGTTACTGGTTGTTGGTAAAAATTTCATATCCCATCTTTTGGTGCACTATTATGTAGACATCAGACCCAGGGGATTCCTATAAACCCCTATGCACCCCTTATGCCCCTCTACCGGTTGGTATTAAGGGGTTCCTGGGTCACAGGCACAAAGAGCTTTTGGTACCGACAAAGAGAGCAGTGCCAGAGCAGTCTGTTTTGACAAAGCCTGCAGTGCCCAACGGGAGGATGAGCCCCAGTAAGTGTTTGCCTTGGGGCATCTGCTCTTGGGCCTGACACTGAGGGTGGCACGGAGGTTGGGGCAGCAAGATGAATCTCAGGTCTCTTTACAGAGGATGCAAAGAGGACGACTTTGAAACTCCCACGTGTCCTAAAATGGCCTGATAAAAGCTGAAGGAAGCCAAGTGCCCTTGCAGACTTAACTGTCTGCCATTCCTCAACAAAGGAGTGAAAGTCCATCAAATTGTGCACCAGGATGCTATCTGAGCCTCTCCCAGGCACCCAACATGCACACCTGTCTCTGGAAAGATAGCTAGGTAGTTTGAACCTCCTATGGAGTTTGGCACCCGACATGGACTGGAGGATAACAAAAGCCAAGTGGTCCCAGCTACTCGAACTATACTATAAATAATTAACTAAACTAACAATGGGATGATAGCCTAACTAGCTTGTGGACATGAGAGAGAGTTTGTTTCACTCTCAGCAGCAGTAGCAGCAAAGGAATTAAGGTGATTAGGGAGTGTGCGTTCCTTTATGTAGACTGAACCAATGACATTACACTAACATGAGCGGGCTACTGTGCCTGCGGTAGTTATACTGTTCCTCAGCTTGCTGCTAGAGGCACTAGGCCCCATAAATGTTAATGTGTGATGGATGCCATTGTGAGAACACACCAGGGATTGGCCTGGGACCTCCAGAGATAAAAGCACGAGCTGTTACAGCGCCAGCTAAAGAGACAAAACTCTGGAGCTGAAGGCTGTGGCAATTCATATCCTCGGTGGATCGGGCACAAAGAAAGACTTAACTAACACACACAAACACACCAGTAGGTTATGTACCTCCTCTGCTCATAGGAGGTTCATCCTGAGTCTCTGAGACCAACAGCAGTTTGAATCTCAGACAAGCTTCCACTTACATGATGGCTGACAACTTGGCCAACATAGTGGGAATTGAACTGAGAACACCTAAACCTAAAAGCATGAGCTACTACATCGTAAACTAAAGAGCCAAGGCTCTGGAGCTAGCAGCTGTAGCAGACTCATATCCTCTGCAGATCACCACACTCTGGGACCGGTCACACACTCAGCAGTGGGTTACAAATGCACAGAGACAACTGCTTCCTTTTAGGAAGCAGAACTAGTTGTCAATGACAAGCTAAATATTAATGCTCCCTTATCCAGATATGATAGCTGTACAACATCAAGGTCAATTAAGCACAAAGCTGATTTTTTGCAAGGGAGCATGAGAAGCGATATTTCCAGAGCTTTAAAGTGAGAGCCTGAACAGGTTCCACATCATAACCTTACGATCAGAACATTGAACAGGCTGCTATCAAATACAAGAAAAAACTTTCTGCAGCATGCAGGAGAATAACTCACGGAAAGACAGTTGCTTATGACACAGGTCAGGTTTACGAAAGCCTCTGCACCACTTCAAATCCCTGCAATGTATCTTTAATAGTTACTGTATCTCCCTCAAATCAGTCTGATAACACTATAAAGACGAATTTTGTTACCAGTAAATAAAACAAAACAAGCATCCTATTCACTTGGTTATTAAAAAAAAAGTCCTTTATCCAAGCAAGGGAGATGCTATACAACACTCAAAATTCCACTGTGCCTCACTATGCTTCATTGGCACACATAAGCACATACATTACTGAAAATTGTAGCATTTTTACAACCAAGGTGAAGTGGACAGATATTGTGCAGACATTTTCAGACCCACTCACCCCCACCCCCCTTTAGCTAGGCAGATGCCCCTTTTATTACAAAGCTCCACAAATGCTCAGTAGATAAATCCTTTGACGTTATTGCTTATTTTCAGACAAAGGACTTATTAGAAATTCATGAGGCAACTTATTGTGAGTCTTGAGATTTATGTCTTTTTCCCCTCATCAAAATGAATTTGACAAAGATGTTAAAAAAAAAATTGCAACTCACCTTCCAGAAGTTATCTACTTTGCCATAAACAAGTGACTGATTCTGCCTTTTGATGTCATTAATGTGTTTAATGTCACTGGAATTTAGATGCTGCTCCACCACAAACCCAAGGAAGCTGTTATCTGGAGTGTGAGCTGCAAGAAAGAAAGGAGAGACATGTTTATTACATGAAGTAATAAAGCATTGGGGCTTTAATATGTGGTCATCGTCAGAAGAGTGACTTTCATGGAAATGTCTCCTCACTTAACAAATCTGCTCCCTGCAAGTATATTCAGAGACATATTTGCTTACTTTATTGACAATATTAATTCTTACTACTTTAAGTCCAACAGAACCAAAACAGCAATAGGGGTAAGTCATTCTTTTCTTACTCATTCATCACCAGTAATAAAAATTCTGAAGCTGGAACTTGATTAACAGTACTGTTTATGATGTTTAGCTTTATGCTACAGGTGAAAGACGATGGTATCTGAGCCAGAAGTACCCCAGTTTGACTTTTAGACCTTATTACAAGTTGCAGAGGTGGCAATTAGAAAAACACTATCTTTACACTTGTCGAGTGAGCTGGAAGACACTGAGGAACAATTAACCTGAAAGTCTATGCTGGCTTAATTATTACTACATACAGTCACCTGTTAAAATTTAACTGTACTTAAGTGTTGTTCAAATTTTACTTCCCAAAGTGGAAGAGGAGCCAACACAAAACATGGCACAAATCACTTTAATATGATGTCTCCATTTTAATTATTTTCATGTAAAATCACAAAAGAATATACAGAGGAGAGATGTAAGAGGTTAATATGAATTTTACTGTCTAGTTCACATAATCCTTATAAATATTGGGTGTAAATCTGGCCCCATTGAAGTAAATTGGGTTTGTTCATTAATTTCAATGGAGTTAGGATTTCACCCATTATTCTTATAAATTAAAATTATTTATTGGTGCATTACATTCTAAAAAGGACATTTCATAAAAAATGTTCTGTGACATTGCCTTCTGTATAAGACTTTTCTTACCAGCAACATCCAATAACTCTAGCCACCATTCTTTTGATGTATATAGAGATGTTATAGGTCCCCCATGAGTGTAAGAATTCCCCCCCTCCCCCCATTAATAAAGTGTTCAACTAGAGAGGGACTACCATATTAAGAGGAGGAGGCTACTCACCCTGTGCAGTAACTGTGGCTCTTCTAGACATGTCCCCCTATGGGTGCTCCACTTCAGGTTCATGTCCTCACCACATACTTTTGATCGGAAATTTTCATTAGTAGCGCCCATGGAGGTGCCCTAGTCATCCTTTTGTCCCACAGCAAGGCTATATAAAGCTGCATGGGTGAACCACCCTCAGTTCCCTCTCCATTGCCAAGTCTCTTAAGAAACTCCAAAGCAGAGGGGAAGGAGGACAGGTAGTGGCACACTCACAGGGTCACGCATCTCAAAGAACCACAGTTACTGCACAGGATGAGTATGGGTGCTTCACTTCAGGTGACTTCCAAGCAGAACCCCCAAAAGAAGGAGGGATCTTTGGAATCTAGTCCATAACTGAGAAAAGAACTGCATTGCTAACTGCCACATGTCATCTAGAGGCATCGATTAAGGCAGTGTCTGGAGAAGCTATGTACAGAGGATCATGCAGATCTCAGATACAGGGACATTTTTAAGGAGGGCCACACATGTAGACTGAGACCTCTTAGCACGCGCTGACACACCAGGAGGAGGTGGAATGTTGGCAACAACATAATAAGCAATAATATATCCGGAGATCCATTTTGACAGTCTCTGTGTAGAAATAGCAGATCCTTTAGATCTGTCTGCAAACAAAATGAATAGTCTTGGAGATTTCCTGAATGATTTAGTCCTATCCAGGTAGAAAGCCAGCACCCACCAGATACCTAGAGTGTGGACAGCAGTCTTCAAAATGGAATTATGTGGTTTTGGAAAGAAAATTGGTAGATAAGTAGTCTGATTCAGTAGTCTGAAACCCAGATAATACTTTAGGAAGGAATCTGCGATGTGACTATAAGGAAATCTAGTTCTTGTAGAATATTGTGAAAGGAGGGTCTGCCATTACTGCCCCAATTTCACCCACTCTTCAGGCTGATGTAATAGCCACTACAAAGGCTAACTACATAGGGAAGTTTAATAATGAGCAGAATGTCACTGGTTCAAATGGGCATTTCATGAGATTTCTAAGAACGAAACTGAAGTCCCAAACCAGAGCAGGGGCTTTCATCTATGGGAAAACGTTTCCCAATCCCTTCATGAACATTAAAGTTGGAGGATGAGCAAACAGTGAAACTCCCTAATTGTGGAATCCCTCAATGAACCTTGAGACAATCCTGTTTTTCCTTTAAATGCAAGAGGTCCTCCAGAACTAGCAGAAGAGGGGCAGAGTGAGGAACAACTTTCTGGAGGTTGCACCAATGACTACATCTTTTCCATTTTTGAAGGCAAGTATTTCTGATATTACTAAATGGTAGAAAAGAGTCCATCTGCTGGCTCTTCCCCAACAAGCCATCGAGGAGCCACATCTTGAGGTGGAGAGTTCTCGGATTAGGCAGCAGCCAGATGTGTCCAGCGACAGGAAATGAGGAATTATTGGAAGATTTATCGGTGGACACAGAGATAGGTGAAGCAGGTCAGGAAACCATGTCTGCCTCGACCATGTCAAGACTATTAGGATAAATCTGGCTTCGTCCTGTCTGATCTTGTTCACCACACTGAGAATAAGAGGTGTGGGGGAAATATGTAAAAGAGCTTCTATTTCCAAGGGAGGAGGAAGGCATCCCCCAATTAATTGAGGCCTAAGCTCTTCCCCTTGAACAGGTAGTATTTTTTGTTTGAAGATGTGGCGTAGAGCTCCACTTCTGAGAATTCCTACGTTCAAAATATGTCAATAAAAATCAGAGTCCAACTCCCACTTGTAGTCTTAGTGAAAAGACCTGCTGAGATGAAATTCTTATGTGATGTCTTATGCATCAGTTCCATAGCTTTATTGCCTTTGATGCAGAGGGAAATGGGATCTCGTCCCCTCCTGCATGCAGTACACATCGTCAGTCATGACTCTGATAGACTTGTCTTTGATGAGAGACAGAAAGCGATGGTAAGCATTTCTAAATCCTCTGAATTCCAATAGGTTGACACAGAGAGTGGTTTCTTGGGTGACTATCCGCCCTATATTGTATGAGCACTGAGGTGTGCCCCCATCCTGTTACCAGAAATTGGGCCAGCTAATAAGCTTAGGGAGGACTAATGACCCATCAGAGTTTGGCAGAAAGCCAAACGTTTATTATATTGATAGCTAGGCTCAAAAGAAGGGGGGGGGGGTCACACTCACAATTGCATACTCACACTCCCAGGACAGGCACAGCACTGGAGATGTCAGGATTCTTCAAGGTAAGCATCCCACAGCGCAGCGATGGATGGTGCGGTGAAGGTAAGTCTTCCCAAGGCATGATGCAGTGCACCGCAGCGAACCACTGGCCAGGCGGTCCGGGCAAAGGGCCTTCATGGGAGGTACAAGCTTGTGAGTACACTGCTGAGCACATGGCCCCTTCCCCTTTTAAGGACCTGCTTCTTATGGCCTGCGACTAGAGATGACTTGGCCGCATCTGGTTGGTCACACTTCACCTCAGGCAGTGTCCATGCATTGGGTGTGTGAGCACTGCCTAATTAGAGTCCCAGACACCTTGTCTAGCTCTTTTGATCTTCCAGCTGTTTTAGCAGCCCATTCATTTCACAAGCATTCCAGGAGGGAGTGAGGGGGAAAGCCACTTCACAGGTATTCAAAGAGGGAGAGGAGACGAGGGGGTGGAGGGGGGAGAAGGTGTAACAGATCTTTTGAACATACAGGTTATATAGAGCATTATACAGATCATTGCTGCTCCTGCAACACATCCCAACACAGATGCCTCTGTCATTACATGACCATTGGCACCAGCTGAAAGAAGGAACTCCAGCACTTACATTTTTATGATCTTGCCACCAGTTGGGGAACTGATACTTGTTTGTCTAAGCTGTGTCTGCTTGATGAACAAGCTATTCTGAGCCATCTCTAGAGACAGTGAAGGCATAATCTTGCATGATTTGTCACAAAAGTGCAAGCTTCCATGTGACCCAGAAGCTGAAGACAGTTTATAACTGAGATATGGGGGCTCATCTGAATAGACCTGACAAGGTCTGACAGTGCTAAGAAACTGTCCCTGGGAAGGAATGCCCTGGCTGCCAGGGAATCCAGGGATGCCCCTATAAACTATAATTTTATATGGTAGTCAGCATGGATTTTTCCACATTCAGTTGAAAGCCAAAGTCCACGAATAAGGCAAGCGTCCTCCATGTGGCAGAGAGCACCTCCTTATAAGACCGACCCTTGAACAGCCAATCGTTGAGACACAAAAACACTACAATTGCCTATCAATGCAGGTAGGTGGCCACTACTGCTAGAACCTTTGAGAACACCCTGGAAGCTGAGGAGAAGCCAAATGGGAGCACTCAGTATTGAAAGTGTCCTGGCCTATAATGGAATGCAGGTACCTTCTGTGGGATAGGTGAATCGCTATGTGGACGTATGCATCTTGAAGGTTAAGAGCCAAAAGCCAACCCCCTGAATCTAGTGAAGGAATTACACCTGCCAGACACCATCCTGAACTTTTGGGACCTCACAAATCTGTTTAGGAGTCTTGCATCCTAGATTGGTCCCTATCCTCCATTTTTCTTTGGCACAAAAAAGTACCCTGAGTAGAAACCTTTTCTTTTGTGCTTAGTGGGAACAGGTTCTATGCTCCTATATGAAGAAGGGAGTTTATTTGCTGTCTTAGAAAGAGCTTGGGTGGGAAAGAGGGATGAGGAGGAGGATGAAGGGAGGTAAAGTCGACGGTGTAGTCCGTTATTACTTCCAAAACCGTTACTCCGAGCTTGCCAGAAATGGAAGAGATGGTCTCTGCATCGGGGGGTGGGCAAATGATTGCAGCTGACAATCTAGGGAAGGGGGAGGGTTCAAACTCTCGATCATCCCATCAAGAAGCAGCAGCTGCCGCCGCCTGCTGCAAACTAGGGTCCGATGGATGAGAGGAACTCTTTCTCTGGAACCTTTTCTCTCTTCCTTGGAGGTTCCAAAGGTCTCTCTAAAAAAAG